ACTGACAAGTTTATTAAATACACGAAATCCCCAGCAAGTTAAACCATGCCTATTCAATTTACGGTGATATTTTTATTCATTACTCTGGCACACTGGCACTCCCACTACTCTACCTTATCGAGTGCCACATGTTGGAATCCCTTATGTGAGGACGTGGCACTTGTACTATCACTTGAAGATAAAACACGACACCTGATCTAACTTACCTGGGAGCTGATCATATAACGTGACGGGGGGGACTTACCTGGCGTGTTCATTCCTTAGGCTACTAAAAGGTAAATGTTTCCCTACTCTGATGTTTTAAGTTTTCTATTCATCATACACCCACCCACTCCCAACACCCATTACCTCTTGTAGCTACACCACCATGTCCGCTACACCCTCAGTATCACCCACACTACACTTGTATCTACACCCCCACGTCTACCTCACTCGCACCAACACCTGCTTATATCTATTTATGTACACCTTCTCATAACCCGGAGTTAATACCCCTTTCTGACAAGTGATAGGGAAAGTTGACTCATTAATCTTCCGTTTATCGCGCACCCTGGCAGCTACCGCGGGAAAAAAACCTGGAGGGTGACGCGTCTCTTTATCCCCACTCCCCCAGGTTGTTCATGGCTACCTGGGTAAGTCAGCTCACATGTCCGTGATAATCTAACCGTTATCTTGCGCGCTAAGGGTCGTCTTCCTTGGCCCGGGGGTCGTGGTGGGTGGGTATGTGTGGGAGATTCAGGTGTGAGGAGTTCCTGGTGGTGGGTCGATCCTCAGGTACTCTCAGTTCACCCAGCTGTAAATGGGGAAGTGAAGGTGGTTGAATCCGTACCGGCCATGCTGCAGTCATGCCTATGGGACTTTTTTTTTCATACGCCTCTACCTTCGTATTGGACCAAGACCTGACTTATAAGGAAGAGTTTAGACGTGCATTTAAACGACCTCGGTACAGGACGTGAGTGTTGGTGGATGTTTATTAGCGATAGACCGAAAGAAAAGAGAAGATAATGTTGGTGACGATGAGGAGAGGGTCAGACAGAGGTCACTACAACTAAAATGAACTCGCTATCAAGATCAAATATAAGATACTAGTGTTTGGCAGGACAGGAGGTACGGGGAGGTCAAACAGACATTGTAACTCACAGTAAGGTGTTGATCAGTGTCAGGTGAAGCACAGGTGAGTGATGCTACAGGCACGAAGAGGTCAAACCATCATGATTATCCTGGTAATTCATGTCAGCGTCCTACTAAGTCATGGCAAATAAAAAACCGGAGTCACGTGATCACGATAAGGTGTGTGTAATAATAATAATAATAAACGGTTTATTAATAGAGTTGCAGCTGGTGGGTGAAAATATACAAACTTACATGTGATTTAGACAATAATATGTATTGAATACATTTACAGGGCTGTACAGTACATAAATCAAGAGTTGTTTATTATTTTAACAATAGATGGGATGGTGCTGTTCTTATATCTATCAGTACGGGCTCTTATGGTTTGAATTTTGTTGTAGTGGCGGACTGCGCGTGGTGGGCGGGGGTCTGCAGGTGGCGATGACGAGGGCGAGGATGGTGCAGTAGTCCACTGCCAAATCCTGCTAGTGCGTGGTGGTGGAGGTCACGGGGGTGGCATTTCCAGGGTGGAGAGAGCGTTGTTGTAGCCCAAGTAGTCTGCGCCGAGTATGATTCTGCAGGCCCTCTTCTGTACCTTCTCTAGCTGACGTTGGGTAGAGTTGAGAGAAGACGTGTGTGTGTGTGTGTGTGCGCGCGCGTGCTTTTAGAACATCTGGAACACCTGTGAAGAGGAGTTAATTACTGGATATTTAATGGCCTCTTACAAGCTGGTGATATAAGGAGTTCTGCTTCGATTCAGGACTGACACCTTGTGAAAGTTACGGCCTGAAGCTGGACTCGAGTTTCTTCCCCTCCGACCTGTACCGTGAGAAGACTTAGAACTTCTGTTTGTCTGTTCGTCCCGAGTTGTAAATTGAATAAGTGTATCTGTCTTTGAGAAGCTGCTGCCTTATATGTGCCGGGGTACCACTCAGGTGTTCAGTAATTAGTACAGGTGTCTTCTTCCTGAATTTGGGGGGTTATGGTCACTCGTGTGTGTGTGTGTGTGTGTGTGTGTTCTCAGTTACTCAAGAAAGTCACCACCCATTATGTCTTGGTGGTCACGGTGTCGTCAACCTCAGACTGAAAGATAAAATTCACAAATGAACCCCGAGTATCGCTTTACCTCGGCACTGTTACGTGTTTGGGTGATTAACACGTCTGAAACTGTATCCATTATTAATTCTCAACCTACGTGTTAACAGTACATTCCGTGTTTTGTGGTAGCTGACTAATTCTGACGGTGACGTGTTCGTGATTGCAGGTGGAGTTTTCTGAGAATTATGTTCCATGACATAGTGCAGTAATATGTAATGATATCTTTCAGTATTATTTTTTTTTTTACTGGCATGAAAGTCTGGTGTCAGGGTGGCGCAGTGTTTGGAGGCTGGAGGGAGGGAATTCGAAGTCATGGAAGGTGATATTTTCTCAATTTTACATTTTCTTCGTATAATCCTGTCACGAGTAAAGTTGATTGCTGCTTCTCTTACAAGTTTGGAGTTTATTTGCTGTGTGCTGCTCAGGTTACAGGTATTTTATCAGAGTCTTTAATTCTAGTTTCTGGCGTCTGTCTTTGTATCTTAAGCTTATATGGGCAAGTTTCTTTACGCTTATGCCTCTGTCTCCCCAGTAGTAATTGGGGACCTGGATGTTGACCGATTTGCTGATCGTGTTCCGGGGTAATGGTTAGCCAGTGCAGTTGGCGAGTTGTCCGTATTTTCTGGGAGTTTTCCTTGACACTGGGTCACTGAGCTCGTTAACTCAGGGTGTGGTTGTTTTGTTGGCGACAGTTTCTACACCTTAAACAAATTTAGGCCTAGGTGACCCTTGGGCCCGCCATCCTCGTTAGACGAGGGGCAACCATTATTATTATATTATATTTTATCTACTTTAACTACCATTTGTTGTCTGAAGGGGAGGGAAGAGAAGGGATATGAGGTACGAGGAAAAAGATTCCATGTGCTCAGTGGTGGTGGGGACGGAGAGCACCCTCCCCCAGCCCTGGGATGTTGTATGCGAGGAAGGGATTACAGTCCTTGTCTCTCACGCCCGGGAGTACTGTACAGTGCTTAGTACACTACAGGGCTGACCTAGTGATTACCCTCCCCCCCCCTGCACACCTGAGTACCATTGACCCACCCTCCTTCCATACGTCTCGCCACACTTTCCTCATCCACCTTTATTTCTGACCCCAAACAGACGCGTCCCCCACCGTGTGTGTCTCACCCTCGCCCCTTATAGCCGGGAGTGAGCCATACACTGGTGGTGTTGTGGGAGAGTCACGTGTGTAGTGTGGCTCCCTCGTACCTTCACTCACGGGGGATTAGTAAGCCAGACGTCTGTTTCCTCCCCGTCCACTTTTATGCCTTTATAAATAGCGTCACGGATCCTGGACCAACTGAGTCTGGTCTGGTGAGCAGTGACTTATTTCCCTCCCTAACGCTGCAGTGGTGCCTCATGTTTTGGGGTGTTGATGTCACACACATAATATTCTATTTGTGGACATATAAATACACATATAGAATATTATAAAAGTAATAAATGTTATAAGAAAAACAATTTCAGCGACAATATTTACAAAATTACAAGTCTTCATAAAGTACCATCTTCCTGTTGTCCAGCAGTGTGGCAGAGTTTTGTTTCACTGACACAAGTGATGGGTAGGTTTATCTGATGACTTGATTAACGAGGCTGTTTCTGTTTGTCGCCTCCAAGGCTGGAACCCAAAGTGTCTAATCCAGACAGGTAAAAAAAGATTTTTAAGAAACCTTGTAAGTTACTTCTTAAAGACCTTTACAGGTATCCCAGCAGTGTTTCTTACGTTTGTTTAGAACAAACTTACAGAAAAACTAGGTTAATACTGCTGGGGAACAGGTGACCCGTGTGGTGGTGTAGGGGTGGGAGACACCTGTAATGAGAGCCCACTCGATTATAAAGTGAGGTGGAGGGAGGAATTAAGCTTGTTAGTGCTGCAGGTGGCGGTCATTATAGCGGGGTGTGTGTGTGAGGCTGGCCAGGTGACCCACCTTATCATGTTACTGCCTCACTTGTCCTTCGTTTGAGGCCCCCCCCCCCCATGCCTAGGTTACTGAACCACACCACGTCAGCCTCACATAAACAAATAAATTAATATGTTGCCTTTTGTCGTTGTAACAATAAACACACCACCGCTACCACACGCCTCGTCGGTTTAGGTTTAATATCGAAACTACACATGAAAGAGATTTTAACTTTCACGACTCGATGCCGATCCTGCAGAGGTAAATATTTTTCCAGGTGTCACTGTGTTCTCACCACTTGCTGTATCAACTTTACTTTCACCTTCGTCGTTACCTTCATGGCCAGATTCTGCAAGTGGGTGTTGTAGCTTTCATCTTGGTTTCAGTGGTTTGGTAATGGTACACCTTGAATCCTGCAGGGGTGATGGTCGATACCCCTTAATAGTGGTAGCCTAACTTGTTGACGTATTTTAGGTGGTATTTGTTCTTCCTCAGTGCCTCTCTGGTGCCTGGCTGCTGAAGGAGGTCCAACACCCTAGTGCGAGGGTCGGCACACACCATCACGCCGGGATTTACACTTAACACAGTCGGGTTGATGGTGTGTGATTGCTGTTTTGTTTTTTAAGGAAGCGTGTACAGGGATGTGGAGGACTGAACTGCTTACTAACTTGAACACAGTTGAAAAAAAAATTCTAGATTTTGTTTGTCATTTATGATTGTTAGGTATGCTAATTCTAAGATACATTTGAACATGATTTGTGTGTGTGTGTGTTCATGATAGTTACCTTTCACTGCCGCATTACTACACAGGTGAACGTGTCTAAATAAAATATAACAATTAAGCGTGAGACTTGACCTGTTTCTAATATATATTTCTTTGTCTTGCAGAAACGTGAGTGCACTTGATACCAGGTCTAGCGTGGAACATATTATGATACTTTATTAAGGCGTCAGGTATGTACTGTCCACTGCTTACTTTTTATGAGAGGAACTGGGGGATTCAGGTTGTAAATAATAATAATAGTGGTTACTCATCAAAATCATCATAGCTACAAGTTTACAGTTGGTCTGGCGTGTATATAGTCAATGTAGAGATACAGTTCAGCGTGTGTATAGATAACGCCAAGGTATACAGTGTACATAGACCGTACAGGCATAGAACACTAGTACAGCCAAGGTTATCGCCGACAATGAAAGGATACTAACCTGTTCACTTAATTCACATTCTCAGTGAAAGTTGTTGTGTATAAGGTCATTCATTGTACAGGAGGAACAAGTTTATGTGCATATTCATTACCATCATCATCATACCAAAGTTATACATAGTGTCATTTTCTGGCCAAATTTTAGGATTATATGATGTGAACTTTGAAATTAGAATCGTACAGTTAATTACGATTGTTTTGTGTCGAGGATAGAGGAAATCCCTGACGTGTGGAGATACTAGTCCACCACCTCTCTCTCTCGTCCTCCCCCATCACGTAGAACTCTTGCTCTCCCCTTCCCCTGTTTTTCCTCTCTCACCCCTCCTCTCCCCCCTCCCCCTCTCACCAATCCCCCCCTCATCTCCTCCCTCCCCCTCATCTCCCACATACCTCCTCCCTCAGGGCCCCCCCTCACCTCTCAGCCGTAACACGTGCTTCCTGTTTGGTGTCGACAGTTCCTCCTTATCCTGCCTGGCACCGTAGCCACCACCCAACACATGTTTACTGTATAACACTTGTAACACGTGTTGTTTATGTCCACACGCTGGCAGCCATACTGTCCTTTCCTTACCACACGAGACAGTCCCCGCTTACTGGACAAAATTTCACCCATGAAGACCTTACTGGACAAAATCTCACCCATGAAGACCTTACTGGACAAAATCTCATCCATGAACACCTCACTGGACAAAATTTTTACTTGACGAAATAATAAATCGAACAAAATCCCATCACTTGAAGTCTGAAAAAAAGAATCCTAATCCCACCAGTTCGAGTTTCCGTGTGTGCTGTTGAGTTAGGTTAGGTCTGGAAAATGGCAGATGAAATTCAATGTGGACAAATGTAAAGTACTTAGTCTAGGAGATGTTAACAGAGAAACCAGATACCAGATGAACAACGTTGTTATAGAGAAATCCGACTGTGAGAAAGATTTAGGAGTAACGATAAGTAGGAATCTTAAACCAAGACAACAATGTGTATTTGTTCAAAAAAGGTTCACAAAGAACTTGGGTTCATACAAAGGAGTGTTAGTTACAAGACTAGCGAGGTCATCCTAAAACTATATCTTGTGTTTGTGAGACCTCACTTGGATTACGCAGTTCAATTCTGGTCACCGTATTACAGAATGGATATAGAATCCCTAGAAAGAATTCAGAGGAGAATGACAAGACTAATCCCGGTCATTAGGAACCTTGAGTACAGAGACAGGTTAAAGCATCTTAATTTGCACTCCCTAGAGAGACGTAGAGCGAGGGGCGACCTGATAGAGGTGTATAAATGGAAATCAGGGTTAAACAAAGGGGACATTACAAAGGTACTCAAACTATCCAACCAGGAGCGAACTCGTAACAATGGTTTTAAGTTAGACAAATTTAGATTTAGGCGCGAAATGGTAAACATTGGTTTGGAAATCGAGTAGTGGATGAATGGAACAAGTTACCGAACATATCATTAACTCGAACACGCTGGATAGCTTCAAACATAGGTTGGATGGATATATGAGCGATAGGGGTTGAGTGTAAATGGAACTGCCCAGTATGGGCCAATAGGCCCGTTGCAGTTTCCTCCATTCTTATGTTAATATCCTTGCCACACTACCACCTGGGCCACACTACTACTACTACCACCAACTGGGCCACACTACTACTACCACTATCACCTGGGTCACACTACTACTACCACCACCACTTAGGTTACTACTAATACCACCACCTGAGCCACACTACCACTATCACCACCACCTAGATCCCTCTCCACCACCTGGAGCCCAACCACTACCTACACTACCACCACCAAATCTCATTGTGTTGTGTCGTCCTCATATTGTAATACAAAAAAAAAAATAATAAGCTTTCGATTCAGAAAATATTATGTTGACAACGAATGGAAATTGTGTGTGTGTGTGTGTGTGTGTGTGTGTGTGTGTGTGTGTGTGTGTGTGTGTGTGTGCTGTTTTTCCCAACGTGGATGTTTCAATTTCATTTCCATTTCAATTTATATCACGGGTGTGTTTGTGAAGCAGCGAATGTTGTATTTGTGTAACTGGAAGAGTAAAGGTTAATTACCATACCTCGAGGTTAATTTATATTACAGGTAATTTAAAATCACCCAAAAATGACTAAAAGAGTAATTGTTATTATTTGTTACTGGAGAGAAATAATTTGATGGTAAGTAAGACGAGTGTTGTTGAAGAGGTTTGTGGAGATGACTGGGTAAGATGTCACTCTAGTCTCACCACAACACACTCGAGCACCTGGCAGCACTCCGAGCACCGCAACGCACTAGCACCAACGCACTCCGAGCACCGCAACGCACTCGAGCACCGCAACGCACTCGAGCACCACGCACTGAGTACTCAGCACCGCAACGCACTCGAGCACCACCAACGCACTCGAGCACCGCAACGCCTCGAGAGCACTCGAGCACCCAACACACTCGAGCACCACAACACACTCGAGCACCACAACACACTCGAGAGCACCACAACACACTCGAGCACCACAACACACACTCGAGAGCACCACAGAGCAAGCACAGCACCTGGCACAACACACTCACAACACAGCACCACAACACACTCGAGCACCACACACCTTCACACAACAGCACAACAACACACACCACAACGACCACAACACACTCGAGCACCACAACACACTCCGGAACACCACAACACACTCCTTTCACACACACACACACCACAACACACTCGTTTCACCACAACACACTCGTTTCACCACAACACACTCGCACCACAACACAACACACCTCGTTTCACCCACAACACACTCGTTTCACCACAACACACCCACAACACACTTGCCTCACACCACAACACACTTGCCTCCACCACAACTTGCCTCACCACAACACACTTGCCTCACCACAACACACTTGCCTCACCACAACACACACACTTGCCTCACCACAACACACTTGCCTCACACACACACACACTTGCCTCACCACAACACACTTGCCTCACCACAACACACTTGCCTCACCACAACACACTTGCCTCACCACAACACACTTGCCTCACCACAACACACTTGACTCCACCACACACACATGACTCACACCACAACACACTCGACTCACCACACACACTCACACTCGTCTCACCACAACACACTCGTCTCACCACAACACACTCGTCTCACCACAACACACTCGTCTCCACCACAACACTCGTCTCACCACAACACACTCGTCTCACCACAACACACTCGTCTCCACCACAACACACTCGTCTCACCACAACACCTCGTCTCACCACAACACACTCGACACCAACACACTCGTCTCACCACAACACACTCGTCTCACCACAACACACCACAACACACTCGTTTCACCACAACACACTCGTCTCACCACAACACACTCGTCTCACCACAACACACTCGTCTCACCACAACACACTCGTCTCACCACAACACACTCCAGCACCTCAACACACTCGTTTCACCACAACACACTCGTCTCACTACAACACACTCGTCTCACCACAACACACTCGATAGATTCTGCAGCTCATAGTTTAATAATAATTCACGAAAAAACACAAGTGGACATTACAGTATTCCGTATAGTGACAGTGGGAGGAAGAGGTGCGTGTTCGTTCGTTCGTGTGCGTGTTCGTTCGTTTCCACCACGTCACCAGCTACCACACTACCGATCTCTATTAAGCCTGTTTAGTATGTAAATTACTCTGACTAAATATGGCCATCATTATTACCTGGTAGCTAAGTTTTGTTGCGAGGAATTAAGTCGTTGTGTTCTTAGTGTGAGATCTTCCCATAAGCTTCCGTAGGTGGAGTAATGTGGCGACCTATGGGTAAGTGTTGTGTATGTCAGGGTTTGTGGTGGAGTAGGTTGAGATGAATTAAATTGGTTGCTAAAATAGATTGTGGTTGTTTGTGGTGGAGTATAAACAAAATAATTTGGTTGTTGGAATAGACTGTTTTTGTTTGTGGTGGAGTATAGATTGGTATTATTATTAAGACTGTCTGGGAACACACTATCGCCTACCCACTCAGGTGTTGTGGATATGTAGCGAGGAGGTGTGAAGAGAGAGGGGTGGGGGTGGTGGGATTAGGGCGACTTAGCGGTGAGGTGGGTGAGAGGGGGAGCACAGTGTCAGGGGGAGGAAAGTGTCAGGGAGAAGCGGGGAGAGTAAGGGTAAACGCTGGGACAGAGTGGGAGGTTATGTGTGGATGAGAGGGAAGGTGTAAGAGGAGGAGGTCAGGTGGTGAGGTATCTGGTGACCTTGTACCTCGAGTCCTTAATTACCTGTGACCTTGACCTCTGGGGTATAAAGGGGGTATAAAGATGGAGGGTAATCAGACTGCTCTCTCTCTCTCTCTCTCTCTCTCTCTCTCTCTCTCTCTCTCTCTCTCTCACGCAATTATGTGTCGCCGGCCCAACAGGTAAAAACTTTGGTGGGTGGTTAAGTCATTAGCGACTGATGCATTGTCTTATTATTGATTCTAACAACAACCTGAATAATTACACATGTACACGGCGGGAAGAAGTGGTGTGTGTGTGTGTTAGATGAGTGGAATTTTCCCCTCAGAAGGCGGATGGTGGAGGGGGGGTTAGTGGTAATATGGGATGGTGGGTTGTGTGATAGGGGGGGGGGTTGTTAAGAGATGGTGGTTGTGGACCGGAGTGAGTTGTTGTT